CCACACACTTACAGTACAAAAGCTTAGAAAATGTGTGAAACATTTCCAGCTTCTCCTCTGGGTATTGCAAGGGGGAGTGTTCTACTAGATCATCAGAAAAAAAAGTGTCCTCATCTAGTGTTCATAGGTGTGTTTCTTCTTCTCCTGTTTATTAAAAAAAATAGCATAGGACATGGAGGTCACCAGATCAGGCATTCTGGGAAAGCAAGACATGCACATTTTGACTGGCCAACTTAGGCTTGTGCTTAGAATTCGATAATTTAGGAAGTTACTAAGTACCAGGTGACAAGGAGTGAAATTTACTGTACAGATTTGTAAGCACAAGAGCAGCCATCTAAAGCAGGAGTCAACAAACTACAGTCCACAAGCCAAGTCCAGTGTGACACTTGCTCTTGTGTGGCTGAAGAGCTGAGGGTTATTTTTAGATCTCAAAGGGTTGGAAGAAATCTAAAGAAAAATAGTATCTAATGGCATGTGAAAATTAAATGAAATTCAAATTTCAGTGCCCATAAAGTTTTAGTGGAATACGGCTACTCCTATTAATTTATGTATTGTCTAGGCTGCTTTTGTGCCAAAAGGGCAGAGTTGAGTAGTGGAGTCAGAGACCATATGGCCCACAAAGCCTCAAGTATTTACTACCTGGCCCTTTCCAGAAAATGTTTGCTGATCCCTGATCTAAACTCTGGCCTATGTATGACATTGAATAAAACCAGAGACAGAGAAAGGATAAGAGGAGCTTTCTGAAAAGAGCTCTTGGACTTGTGCAATCGAGATTGGTCAATTCCTTGGCCAAAGATATCTGATCAAGTACATGCAAATTTTGTTCTTGTGTGGCTTAAGAAGCTGCATGTAGACCCTCCCAGAATAGTTAAATGGCCTCTGGGAAAAGTTACCCCAAAAGTCAGGGAGTGAAGAGGACACTGATATGTACCAAAAATTGTCTGCAAGACTCCAAACAAGAAGTAACATTCAATTCCACATGAGTTGAGGTGGGAAAGAGTAGATTTAAAGGACAGAAAGAGTTCAATGAGGGTTCACTTACATTTCTTCCCTCACAAAAACCTGGGGCAAGAGAGAATCAAAGCCATAGTTATATAAAATTTGCCAAGGATACTAAATTAGGACATATTGTAAACATCAGTGAGGATGGTGTAATTCTTTGAGTTCAGAATGTAAACTACAGTTTCAATTTTATGATGTGTACCAAACAGTGCGCCATGTGTACAAAACAAATGGATGTACAATCTCCAATGTTTTACTAGAAAATGTCTGAAAAATAGTAAATTCTTTCGCACATAATGCACATGATGAATTAATTAACTCTCTTTGAAACATGATGAGGTAGAGATGGGGATTCATCTCCTGATTTTTCCAGATGAGAAAATGGAAAAGAAAGGAAGTTGTCCAGCCATGGTCACAGTGCTGGGGGAAAAGGGACTCTAACAATGTGGAGTTTTCATCCAGGCCATCCACAGTGCACTCTCTCAGCTGACTATTTCCATCTGAAGATTGATGCTTAAGGGAATGGGAGCTAGGATTTGCCATCTCTTAGGAAGGCAAAACCCAAAGTGCATGCAGGCGTAGATGCACATGTGTTTGCTGAAATAATAGTGATGATGTTTATAATTTATAGGATTATCACAAAAAGTTTCAGCTGGAAGAATATTTTTAAAATATCTAATTTAACTCCTTTATTTTACAGACAAGGAAAACAGTGGTCCAAAGGGGGGAATATCATATCCAAGGTCACAAAACCAAAACCCCTCTGAGCATATTCATATCTCTGCATATGAGCATAACTTTCCTTGAACTTCCTGGCCTTTTAGACAGCATCCAATATGCCTTACCTCTCAACTCTGTGTTCATCTCACCCAACCCACCTACTAGCTGATTCTCCTCACGCCTGTTTCTAACCCACAAACCATCCCCCACCAGCACATGCGTGCATGCGTGTACACACACACACACACACACACACACACACTCTTTCACTAAGTTTCCATGAACCACATTTTAGTACTCTTACCCCCAAGGCCTAATACCATTACTTTTTATCTCAAAATATTCAGATCCTTCCCTGGCTAGCTTCACCCTCACTCCAAACTCCCAACATTCCTGACAATGACAAAATGTGGCGCTCTCTCCCCTTCTTTCTCTTCCACAGAAAAACCTGGCTATATTACAACCGACTCGGCGCTGAGTCTTCTACCAGTGACAGCATTAAAGCCTCATGCTTTATGAACTACCAAAGCTAGAAATGGATTTCTGGCTGACGTGCCAGGCTTTTAAGTTTTGTACCTGTGCCCAGTCCAGAGATTTTCGAAACCATGAATAAAGTGGTAATTAACACTCTGAATACTCAGTCTGAGTTAACTGACAATGACAAACAAACGAGGAAGGGAGATTTGTGCTCCTACTCTGTCCAAGACAGGTGGAATTCCAAGTTGCAACAAGGCAGATTCAGAACCACCTTCAGAAAAGCCATTTGGGTGATAAAGACACATTGTAAAAATGGAGAAAAAACAGATCAATAAATGTTCTGTGAGGGCAATAAGACAGCCCCCTGCCTTCAAATAGAGATAATGATGGCAGTACACTCCACACACCAAGCTTTACGCATGGGAGGAAAATGAAAACACCAATAATTTTTTCTTTGTTTTTCTTTTTGTCGTTTTTTTGTTAACCATCTCATCCTGTCCCTGAAAGGGCTCGGCACTGGAATCTGGGGTGCATATTCCAAAGGCACCAAGGGGCTTCATAGTTTCACAAGGAATCCATCAGTGACTTTTCATATTTCAAGCATTCAAGAGCATTTGGTCCCATGAGCGCACAGAGGCTCATTTTCTCAAAGGAAATATAACCAAGTTTCCCTAACTGAAGGGATTCTAGGGTCAGGAGCATTCTGAGACCTGCTGGATTTCCAAGTGCTCTGTAAGTTGAGTGATTACCCTTCCCCCCGCCCTCTCTTTCTTGTTCTCAAATAGCCCAAGATCCACGTCATAGCAGAGTTCCTCCCAGGCAGCCCTGCCAGCTGCCCTTCTGCCTGTCTCCCTCCTTCAGCCCTAACTTCTGCAGAAAGATCCCATGTGGAATATTTTATGACAGCAAAATCTTCCCTTTCACAATATGGTTGATTATGTCCCATGTTTTCCAGAAACAAAAATACCATGATCCAGATTGGTAACACCCAGAAGCGGCATCAAATGCAATCTAACCTGTGTATTGACTTTGCTTGTTCGCTGGCTTACTTGGATTCCTTTGCCATCTGATATGACTGCTATTACTGTGGTGCTTGGGCTTACTGACACACTAGCTGTAGATAGGTGCCTGTTTCACTCTGTGCTCTACAGACAGGGCCTACTGGATGACGGGGTGTGGGGAAGAAGCAGGTTCGCCCTGGGAAAGCAGGGTGATCCGAAGTCTTTGGAGCTGGTCCTCACTTCCTTTTCTGACAGCCCTCCTCCTGTAAAGTACCCTTAAGAAAAGAAGGCACTGCTCTCTGCGTCTCTTTCCAAACTGCCTGGGCCTAGGCACTGGGGTCCTAGACCTCATACCAGCCCAGCATAAGCAGCAGCAATGGGCCACTCGGGGCTAAGTGTGAACCACGCAGCATGTTTTCAGTATTACTAAATACTACCTGTCTCCCCGTTGCTTTTGGGACTGGAAAAAACCCTAAATCACAGTTTCCCATTTTACAGGTATTCCGGCCACCTGGCCAAAATGATGGAAAGACAGTCATCATTCCAATTGGCTAGCAGTGGGGATACCAGTTACTGGACACACACTGTCTACCTTTTCTCTAGATGCCAAGAACTATCTGGTACTTCTGCTGTCATCTAGTGGGTGTCATCACTTTTCCTGGTGAAAGGTGTGGCTTTACATACCTGCTACTTTGAAGATGTCCTCAGGATTTGTAGCCCTTACATAAGAAAAAGCTGTCTGTTTTGGCTCTGACTTGGAACTCAACAGTTTTAGGCCAGTGAGAGGGAAGAGAAAGGTCTTGGAAGAAAGTACTTCCTTTGTGGAAAGTGGGGGAAGGTGTTGATACTGGTGTTTAGCAACTGGGTCTGCTCCCACAGCACAGCATCTCTGTCTGTCGGGGACACATCGATGTCCCTTTGGGAAGGAAGCCATTAACTGCAGGGTGGGGAGTGCAGTGGATGAATGGCTTCGGCCCGAAGGACCGGGAAGGAAGGGGGCACTAGCATGTATAGGAGTCCTGGACATGGGAACTCCTCCTATAAGATGCAGACTGAGCGCCTCGGGGGGCTGAGTGGACGTGAACTGTGCTAAGTGAAATAAGGCTAAGTAGCCAGGGCTTGAGTCCACAAAGCCCAATATTAGAGGCAGTTTAGCTTGGGGCTCTGTACCAATGGGCAGGCCCTGAGGGCAGGCCTCTGGAGAGGAGAATAAAATTGTTTCATCACACTGGGTCCTTATCTACCTGAGAGCTATTAATGCAAAGAGGCCTCAAGAAGGCAGCAGCAGGAGGAAGCAGGTGCAGAGACTGATGGTCTGCTGAACGGCCAGAACCCTTCCTTTCTGGGGCCAAAGCCAGGAAGCCTTCGCTAAGGAACAGTCTCCTATTCACTAAAGAACAGGCTGGAGACTCAGTTGGGGTTTCTCCACTTCTAACCTCTCTAATAAGAACAAATTTTTCCCTCACTAGGCAGCAGAGTGGAGGGAGGAAATTAAACAAGCAGGGAAGAAATTAAATCTTTTCAAATCATTAATTTTCCTTTCGTTCCTAGGACCCACCAAGCTCCAAGCACCAGCTGGGACCACCTTCACTACCTATATTGCCTATACTACCACGATTGCCAAAGCCAGGGGACCAGCACTATGAAAACTTGCTTCTTTAGACTCCTAGGTTCTTTGAGACGGCCCCGCCTGTGACCTTGTCCCTGAGATGATACAGTCCCAGGCCCTGAAAAATTGGTGCCTCTGTCTAGAAGATAAAGGAGAAAGGGAAATAGAATTGAGTGTGCAAGAAACGTTACCTTCAGCAGCTCTTTTAAAGAAGACTTTGCAGCTTCCACAAGTGAGAGCTCCATAGTGACAGCCAGAAGCTTCATCTCCACAGATCAGACATGTCTTCTGGGGTGGGAAGTAATAGTCAATGGGCAGAACATGGTCCCTGGGAGTCTCCAAACTGGAAAGACACAAGAGAAGCAATGCGGCACACATCAGCGGTTGGCAGAAATTGGAGGGTAGAAATCTGAGGTCTCGAGGAGTAAACTACATGTGTTAACTATTATTGTTCATTGCTTAATACAGTCAGCAAGAAGCTGAATTTTCCCGGGAACTCTCCTAGGAATAACGTTTGTAGGGTTTCCTGCCACGTGGACAGAGCCTTTATGGATCCTGCTAAGGAATTAGAGAAGTTCTCTGGAATCAGTCGATCTCATGGGTTATGTTGACAAGAGGGAAGGATGAACGCAGAAATCTGAGGTTAAAGAATCTAACTTAGGGGCTGGCCGAGTGACTCAGTTGGTTAAGAGCTCGCTCAAGAGTGTGAGTTCTGAGTAACAGCGGTTCGATGCCCGGCTCGAGCTAAGCTGCCACTGAGCTGTCAACAGGTGGCAGGATGTCTCAGCTTAAAAAAAAAAAAGAATCTAACCTAGGGTGCTGGTCAGGCAACAATTTTGGAGCAAGTAAATGATATGAATCCAGAATCATGACCCTACCTTATCCAAGGGGAGAGACCCATAGCCAAACCAGACGAAACATCAAGCAGTCTGATGGGCTTTGCTTTAGTTCTCTGAGCCTCACTCTCATCTGTAAACAAGAACATCACCCATACTGCTGAGCGATGATCGTCAGTGATGATATAAATTAGACGAAAGGTAAAAAGACCTTGAAATGAATACACAAGCAAGGGATCATGATCAGTAGTGTCATACTAGTCTTCTTTGGTCTTTTCCCCCCTCATTCTTTCAGTATCCTAAGTAGTCTCTCTAAATCACATGGGCATGCCCCCAGCCCAATTCTGCAACACAAAGCAGCAACTTCCCTATGCCTGGAGCTCCTGTTGAGGAATGATGGACAGTGATGCCGGAAACCTCTTAGGCTATCATCTCAGCACCAGGCCATTAAAATCCTCATAGGTTCCTTGCGCTAGGATGGAGCTTCAGAAGTTATCTGGTCTAACTGCCTTTCTCCAAGAAGATCCGTGTCTGAGTCCTTCTGGGTGGCTCTGTAGGAGAGGCCAATCCTAAAACCTTAGTGGAATGGGTAATTCTCAGTCTCCCACAGCAATTAATTCAAGTTTAAACAAATGAAACATGGTTCTTACTACACAAAGGCCATCTTGCTTCTCTCCTCTGTCCTATATCTAAGCATTAAACAAAACGTAAGTGACCTCTGGGGTTAATGTGCCTCCAGTAGATAACACTTGCCCATGTTTTTATCTGCAGGAATGCAGTCACTATTTTTTATGAATACTTCTTCCTTACTAAGGAAGAAAGGGAAATAAGCCCTAACGGTAGCCTGTTGGCTGTGTGCGGTGACTTCTACACCTCAAGTCAACTTTGAGAGGCATTTTTTCTCCTTGTCTCACATAAGGAAAGTCAGACTCAGAAAGGAGAAGTCCAGGACTAGCTGACACCATGGCAGGATTATCTGACTCCAAAGCCAACACAGTTTCCATTACTCTATTGTCTTCTCACTGCTCACCTTCACATTGAACCCATGACTCTTTGGTAATCATGCTCAGCACAGTCATCAGAATAAAAATAAAAAGCATGAAAGGCCATCCTCCCTTCCACCCATCAATGAGCAGCCCTTGCATGGAAAGAGCAAAAAGAACCTTCTCAGGCTACACTTGACAAGCACTTTATCGCTAAGGCACAAATATTAGCCTTTATGCAACTCCCAAGTACAACCAAAAGCACTCAAAAAGCTCTGCTGACATGCAAACCCAGCAGCTGGCTATGGTGGCCTGTCTGCTATCTCCGCAAGCCTTCCATTTCCACTCACAACTGGAAAGCCAGCACTAGTCTGTCCACCAAACCAGGACTAGCAAGGCCTCACGTTCCATGGGAAAAGAGCTTCACTTCCCGTGTACAAATGGGCCAAATGCTAAGAAAGGCTGTCACACCTTGGGCAAAAATATCATTTCTTTAGGTCAAAATTGGGCCCCCATCCTCATTTGTGAAACAAGGAGAAGAAACAGAAGTTTTTTTTTTTTTCAAGTGTCTTCATCCTCTTTCCACTTTTTTCCCACTTCTGTAACTAATACAAACAACTCAAATAAAATTAGAGACATGCATTGAGGCACTCTATATGGCCAGGCCATTTCATAGACATAATCTCATTTCATTTTCCCAACAACCCTGTCAGGTAGCTCTGTATCACCTCGATATTGTAGGACACAAAGCTTATGCCCAGGAAAATTAAGTAAACTTGTTTAAGATCGCTCATCCAGTAAGTGGAAATGCCAGGATTCCATCCTACTTAAGTCTGATTCCAAAGTATGGATTTGCAACCAATGACTACCCATGTTACAAGATTGGAGGCTGACATTAGATAGATTGATTCTACTCAACTCCTAGAACCTAGGTCTTTGACCAGGTGCTGGGGATGTAGTATTTTTATGGGAGGAGGGAAGGGGTGGAGGATATCATGTTGATCAAGGTACTATCTTTGGCACCAAGGAGCATACTCTCTAGTAGAGAAGAGACAGGAAGCAAGGAACTGTAAAATAACATAGTAGATAATATAATAAAGCAGAGTGCAGACTGCTACATGAGAAAGCACCTCAAAGACAGGAATTTTTTGAAAGGCATCAAAGTATATAAGGGTATATGATATGATAATGGCAGTGACAACAATTATTAGTATATGATTGCAAAATAAATATTAGATAAACAAAATGGAAACCTACATAAAGTAAATAAGAGGTCTTTTGGGAAAGAGCCTTTAAAACACAGAAATTTTCTTTCATACTAAAACTGAAAAATACAGTTCAAATTGATTCAAAGACTCTAATCAAATTTATAATCAATGCTGAAAGAAGAAAGTCATCAACATTTTTATTAGATATGAGTTTAATAAAATACACCTTACACCAAACTAACTGTAAAGGAGGAGAAATAATGACGATGATTTTAGAATCTGCACTTTTCCTAACTACAACCCACTTTGACTAGAGGCCTGCAATATCTCCTGATCCCACCGGGCCGGTTTCCATCTATTTCCCCCTCCTCTCTCTGGCAAAATATTGTAGACAGCACTCCCAGTAATCCTAGCCCAGTGTGGACAAAGGGCACACTGCAGTTCTGACTCATGGACTGAGCTGTAGGCAGTGGAAATGAGAATTCCAACCTCAGTCCCTCTCCCAGGTTTATATCCTAGAGAAACTCATGCACATATGTCCCAGGAGGCATGTGTGGGAATGGTCAAAGCAGCTTTGTCTGTAAAAGCACAAACTTTAAACATCCACTCACAGGAAAGAGGATAAGTCAATTATGGCATGCTCATTCAATAAAATACCATTCAGTAATGACAAGGAACAGAATCCAGCTACATGTAAGGGAATCTCACAAGCTGATGTTGCATAAAAGACAGAACTCATAATAGCATGCCTACTATATAATTCCATTACGTAATGTTAAAAAAGGAGCAACAGGAAACAATATATGTGAATGTATGTGTGAAAAAAATATAAAAATGTAAGGGAATAATAAACCCAAATATAGGATAGTTTGTTACTTCTGAGGAGAGGCTGGGGGTAATGATACACAGAATGAGGAATCAAGTTGATTTACGCATTCATTTAAAAATATTGATTAATCACCTACTACATACCAGGCACCATTCTGTGTCCTGGGGTTAGAGCAGTGAACAACAACAACTAAAAAAATGTGGAAGGAAGGAAGGAAAGAAGAAAGAAAGGAAGGAAGGACGGAAGGAAGGAAGGAAGGAAGGAAGGAAGGAAGGAAGGAAGAAATAGCATTAATGTTCCTTAATTAGGGCTCATGAGTATTCATTTTATTATTATGCTATATAACATATGCTACCTGTATTCTTCTGTATGGCTATAAGGGCACATAATAAAAAGGAAAATTAAAAAGGAAAACCTCAGAAGTTTCTGGCATCCTCTTGAATAACATCCTAACTGCAAGTACAGCAGCGGTTTGCTTTGAGAACACATGAGTACAGAATTTGCATGAGACATTGTGTTTCTTCCCACCTCCCCTGGGTTACACACTCACCTATTATCCCAACACAGGGCATTCAGTTTTATGAGTCTGAAGTAAAAGCGCTGCTGCATAGAATGGAAGTTTTCCAAACCAGAACACCACTTCCTATTCTCCAAGTTTCACAATTAAATAAAAGTGTATTACAAATACCAGTTCAACCACGGGAAAGTTGGGCTCAGAAACCACCCCCCACCCTCTGTCTGTTTGCCTCTCCGTCTCTGACTTGGGGATACTTTAAAGGGTCTGACTTATCTAAGTAAGTCCCCCAGTGATTATGAAACCAGGGCAAAATGCAAAAGTCACAGACCAGTTCTCCTTGTTTGGCTGAGGAATGTCAATTCATCAGGGCTTTGGAGCCAGCCAGACCTGGCTTGGAATTCTGCCTCCACCACTGAACCTTGAACTCAGTCATTAGGGCTCTCTGAGCTCCATTTGCCTCATCTGGAGTGTGGAGATACTTTCTACCCTAGAGGGCTTTTGTGAGAATTACATTAAATGACATATGTTAAGCCCTTCACTCTGCCGGCCACATGGTAGCTGCACTGCAAATCTGGGTTGCCTTCACTTATTATCTTACCATAATAAAAGGAACTGTCTAATATTCTTAAAGAAAAAAAAAGACAATCTTTCTTAGCTATACAGTGCTTTTAGGGAAAGGTAAATACAAGTGGAGAGAGAAGGAAAAAAAGACTAGATGTGTAAAAGCATTTCTTTTTCATACATACCTTTGTACTTTTCAGACAAGAAGGGATTTAGGAAACCACCAAACATCTTTACAGAGCATCATATTTTTTCTGATGCTTAGTAATGTAACATATTTTTATTAATCACATTTGGAATATAATGACAACTCTACATAAACTGTTAAGATAAAAATAAGACAGTTCAAAGTTATTCTCTACTTATAGCTTTCTTGTGCCTACTTCTTTGTGGGCACGAGTTATTTCAG